GCATTTTCACCATTATTATTTTATAGACGCGAGGAAACTACAAATATCATCAGTCTACTGTAAAAGGAAATAACTGCAGACAAAAGGCATACTAATAAATAAATAAGCAACTTCGAACAAGGCTAGAAAACATCAATAAAAGCGAAAGGGTGTAATTTAGAACTCACGGAATAAATTCACAAGTGCAAATCAATCGACCGTGCCTGGAACCAAAGCACGCTAGCAAGATCAACCTCACCAGCCTGCAGTGCAGTGACGCTGAGCAGGTCCGCGAATCCCATCCGATCTCTCATCTCCAAAAGTTCACGAACATCGATCAAAGACACGCCGGATACGAGCAAGTGCTGTAAAAAAGGGCAGGCGTTGTAGTTCTCGAAACCAGGAACAGGCATCCGACCCGATGCACGGAAAAACGATACAAAAAATTCTTCTTCTGCCTGTCGCATGTCCAAAGTCTCCAAGGCCATACAGAAACGGAAGATGTCGAACAAACGAGCTTCGACTGGATGCTGACCAAAAAGGATCAGCTCGGTGACGGTGTTTAGAATGCCGGAACATGTGGCTAAACACTCCACATCGTTTTCGTCCTGAAAATGGACCTTGAGGGTGGATAGATAGGGAAAGGGGATATGAGCGAGCACTTCCGCCATGAGTCGAAGGCCTCGAAATGTGATATCCAATACACGAATATTCAGGGGGGGGGAGGCGATCATGGTGCCTGCATGGGAGCGGGAGAACTGAACGGCGTCCAATACAAGTTCATGAAGATGGAGCGAAGTGCTCAGTAGATGAATAAGATCGCGCCAAGTGAGCGAATAATGACGTGGGAGCTGGACAACGGAAACAGGAGAGTCGCAGGCGATATGAGTGAACACCGGGTGCCGGACCCTAGCGCACACGATGGAAAGGTGTGAGACGGGAAGGAAAGGTTGGCCAAACGGAGGCCGATGAGGAAAGACGAAAGAAGCCAGACAAGAGGGTTGGAACATGGAGAAGGAAGGATATTCGTTCTCCATTACGACCGACAGGCGCGATAAGATGGCAGGGTTCGCCACCGCCAGCTCCTCCATGGATATTTTCACCAGACCGATATTACCGACTTCCAGCACAAGAATTCGACAGGTGCTGAAACGTGTCGACAGCAACCGGAGAAGATGGCGAAAATGGCGAAAGAGAGTGAATCCATCATGGTCGGAGGAGTAATACGACCGGGCGGATGGTGCCCGAATATGGACATCGAGGGGAAACGACTGGGCATATTCCAACCAAATGAGGATTTGACAAAGTTGGGTGGTGGGTGTGACCAACATCCGTGCCCAAAGACAAGGCACAGAGTTGACCAGGTGGGGAGGAAATGACAAACGCAGGACACCTCGAAATCGAACACTCTCTTCGACAGAAAGGGGCGGGTCGTATTCATCCACGAAAGAGAGAGCGTGAACGAGAATTTCGGACGGCATTCGATCAACGATCTATACAATGTCAAAAAGATAAAATGGAACAGGGTACCACATACACTTGAGCCACGGATTAGAGAGAGGTTAGGCATGGAATTCAGTTAGAGAAAAAAAGAATGAAATAAAATGATAAACCACCAGACCCGCAATCCGGACATTTAACGGACCCAACTTCAAAGCAGCTACCAATAGCATTCTATGCATCGGGATCCAAGATAAAAGGAGGTCCAGATCTGGCAGAGATCCAATAGCGATCCAACGAACAAAGATCAAAAAATTACGAGAGGCTGAGTGATGTCTAGACGGACCGAATATCCGATCACCGAAGTGTCATCACCGAGCGGGACCGGACAGCGACCGAACGACCTGACAGTTATATCTAGTATATCGAACCGTTACATTCAAAGGGTATGAAAACTATAAATCGGACCCCGACTAGTATAAGGACAAAATCCTGGAAGATTGGCCGACAACCACCGAGAAGCACCTAAATCTAGGCCATCCAAGGTACTCAGTGACTCCGACTCGGAGTAACGAACATGAACATTGTTCAATCCAAAAACAGGTAAGCCTGTGTCCGTTAAAAAGGAATGGAGGATAACGAGGTCCTTGACTAAAGACATAGGTGACGGGCCCAGCGCGAGGCGTCGTAAATTAGGAGCGAACGTGGTGCGGCCGTTCACAGCAAGCCTCTTTGACTCCGCAACCAATTCGGCGAGTGCGCCAGAGCGAGATCCCCTCAAATCCAAATCCTGTAAATTATGGAAAACAGACAACAAGGGCAGCAACCTCACTCCCGCATCCACGCGGCCGCATATGACGACACGGCGCACGCTAGAAAATTTGTCCGCGCATCGAGCTGCAGCAATTACATGCCCGCTATTGGTGATCCGTAAAGATAGTCTGCGCAAACGAGGTGCCGCAATCAAGGGTACCAGGAGGTGGATGCTGTCTGGGATACCAAACGACAGACGAAGTCGTAGAAGATCGGGAAGCATGATAGAATTGGGAGGTTCTGGATACCGGGAATCTGAACAGCGTATATGCCCTATGTGAAGATCCTCGATGCGTGGAATCGCAGACAACACAGTTGTCAAATCCTCGATAGATAAAGGGCGGATGTGACCGTCCATACGTTGGATAGATAGCTTTCGCAAGGAAGGGAGGGAATTGAGCGATGCGGCAGGCATATCTGCTCCATAGAGTCGGAGATGAACCAGGTTCGGAAGCCTGGCGGAAAACCACGACAGAGTGGGGGAATGTCGAAGCCGGGCATGATGACGAGGATCATGGTGAGAGGATACGGAAAGCGTACGAAGAAGAGGCGCCGACTGATCGCGAAGGGAAAGATGGATGTGGACGAGAACGCTGGAATCGTCTGTTTCCACTCGCAACGACCGCCATCGAGGCACAGACGATGCGGATTCAAGCATGAATCTGTTTATATAGACGAAAGCCTGGGAGCGATCCTCGAGCTGCCGAAAGGACATGATGATATCCAAAGAACATGAAGGAGTTCTGGACAGGGAAAGGAACACCGATTCCAAAGGAACCGACTGGTCACAGAGAATTAACCGCCAAAATGCCTCCGTATTGCGTATAAAAAGGAACCAGCCGCGGCAAACAGAACAGAGTATACTTCGCGCTCGAATATAGGGCCAGTAGTCGTCATAGGTGGAACCTGCACACACTAACTGAAAGATACAGGCGACAATATCCGAATCCAGCGAAGCCATCGACGAGCAAGACATACTAAGGAACAGACACAGCGTTAGAGACAATACATTAAGATAATAATGATCTACTCACATCAGCCAGGCCAATAAATAAACATAAGAAGACGAGTGTAAAACGCAAAAGACGAAGGCCAAAGCCAATAACTAACACCCAAAACAAGGGTATTGGATTGATAACATCAAATGTAAAGACAGATCAATTCTCATCACGTTTCTCATCAAAGTTGGGGACGGTGATTTTTTTTCTGGTGGTAAACGGTTGCCAAGAACGAGACCTAATAAATTAGGACTCGTAACAAGGACAATATGACAAAAAAACGATGGGATCACGATTTATAAGCGAGTAACTCGGACAGACGGACAATTACGCAGATGAGACCTGGTCCCTAAATCCGGAACCAAGAAAAAGAACTTTGCAAGAGAAAGTGGCATTCGGATGCGGGGAGTCGAACCCCGTTCTTCGGCTTACGAGTATGAAGCCAATGTGCGCCGTATACCAGATCCGAGTTATTCTTTACCGTTGGAACTTTGCCACAGGGAGGGGTTTTTGTGGCAGCCAAAAATAAAGAGACGGTAGAGGGAGAAAGGATTCCGTTGCAGGGAGTCGAACCCGTTCTTCGGCTTACATCGTTACCCCATACGAACATGAAGCCAATGTGCGCCGTATACCACATCCGAGGTATTCCTTACCGTTGGAGCTTTGCCAGAGGGAGGGGTTTTTGTGGAAGCCAAAAATAAAGAGACGGTAGAGGAAGAAGGATTCGAGTGCGGGGAGTCGAACCCCAGCTTTCAGCTTGGACTACAATTAGACGCCTCTATAAAGAGCTGATGTGCACCGTACACTATTATCCGAGGTATTCACTACCGTTGGAACCTTACCAAGAGAATGGATTTGGTGGGACCAAAAATAATAGAGAGAACTTGCAGAAAGGGGGCATTCGGATGCGGGGAGTCGAACCCCGGCCGTCAGCTCATATGCGAGGTTTTGTGAATATTAAGCCGATGTGCACCATACACCACATCCGAGGTATTTCTATTCTGTTGAGACTGGGTAAGTACCTTACAATGTTGAATAATTGCAATACGACCTTTTCATTCCAGCGAATGATTGGAATTTGCAAAGGTAAATCTGGATATAGGCAGTCAAACCCTCGCCTTTCGACTTTGATTGTGGAAAAAGAAAAAACAAAGGAAAAAGAAAACGACTTGCAAATTCGGACGCAACTCCGGTCTTCGGCTTATCGTCCTATGGGATCGTCGGTGATGTGCACCGTGCACCACATCCGAATTATTTAGTACCATTTGAAATGTGTGAGGGGGAGAGGCTTTGTGGAAGAAAAATAATAAAAAACAGATATGTATGGGGATTGGAATGCGGGGAGTCGAGCCCCAGCCTTCAGCTTACCAGCATTTCGACCGAATAAAGAGCGGATGTGCACCGTACACCACACCCAAAGTATTCTTCACTGTTGGAAGCGTGCCAGGAGAATAAATATGGTGGTCCAAAAAAAAAAAGGGTGAGAGAAGGGCTGATTCGGATGCGGGGAGTCGAACCCCAGCCTTCGGCATACCGGTCCGTTTCCGAATAAAGAGCCGATGTGCACCATACACCACATCCGAGGTATTTCTATTCCGTTGAGGCTGGGTAAGTAACTGCGTGTCCGTTCAATGTTGAATAATTGCAATGCGACCTAAGTTCATTCCAGCGAATGATCAGAATTTGAAAAGGCAAATCCGGACATAGGGAGTCGAGACTTTGATTGTGACTTTATGAGGTAGAAAAAGAAAAAAAGGGACTACGGGCGAATTCGGATGCGGGGAGTCGAACCCCGGCCTTCGGCTTAACGGCTCATTTCTTACTTCAGTATATGAAGCCGATGTGCACCGTCCACCACATCCGAGCTATTCTTCATTGTGGGAACCTTGCCAGGGAGAGGATTTCTTTGTGGAAGAAAAATAAAAGATACTGGAGAAAAAAATTCTCGCCTCATTTGGATGCAGGGAGTCGAACCCCGGCTTTCAGCTTGGGATTTATTTAATTTTCCTTAAAGAGCTGATGTGCACCGTACACTAGTCTCTCCTAGACAGACGCTTCAACAAGATATAAACTCGTGCCTCGTTTTGTTGAAACCATACACCACATCCGAGTTATTCACCATATTTGTAACCCGGATTCGTAGGAGAGGATTTTGTAGAAAAAAAGACTGGGAAGCTACATAGTTGAATTCGGATGTTTCAACATATCAAATACTCCGGCTATAGTAAGCCGATGTGCACCGTGCACCACATCCGAGGTATTCTTTATCGTTGGAACCTTGCCTGGGGAGAGGGTTTTTTGCGGAAGCCAAAAAAACACCAGGGAACTTGGAAGATCTGTAGTCGGATGCGGGGAGTCGAACCCCGACCTTCGGCGTATAGTCAACGACAACAACATGTGTAGTTGATGTGCGCCGTATACCACGTCCGAGTTATTCACCACGTTTGGAACCCGGACTTGTAGGAGAGGAATTCGTCGTCCCAAAGAAAAAAGAAGCTTGGAGGACGTCCAGCTCGGATGCAGGGAGTCGAACCCTGGCCTTCAGCTTGTACTGCGCTGCGGATGCGAGCAATCCACAGCTGATGTGCACCGTACACTATATCCGAGGTGTTGGATACCACAGGGAGTGGGATATGAGTGAGCTGAACGGGGCCCGTTAATTGAGATCTGGAGTTGATCTGGAGGCGCGTGTGCTTTTTTTGGTAGAAAATTGTTGGTTTATTTGCCCAAAAGTGTGCACCGTGACGGCAGGAAGACTACACGTCGTCTTTTTCTCTCTCTAAAATTCAGAATGAACAGACATGTACAGGAGGTGACAGGAACGTCGAGTCAGAGACTCAGAGGCGACTGTGATCGATGCTAGCGAGGACGAAGACTTGAATTTGTGGAGCGGAGCGAAGAGTACTAACTCGAGAATAGCACTGAACCGAGTACGAACGCAAGCCTGCCCCGCCTCCTCGCCCGTCCTCGGACCCATCACCCCCTGACGACGTTTGACCGACAGCGCTCCTTGGCGTGTCATGTGCAACAACCATCACGTCGGAGTTTGAACTCCTTCCTTTTCTCTCCCGTCGTCGTCGCCGCCGACGGCCGCCCCTCCACACTCGTTCTCCGTCCCTCTCTTTACACACACATACACACATAGGCTTCGAGGGCATCAAGATCAAGGTCGGGCACGCTGGCGCCCAGTTCGGCAAGCACCTGCGTCGTGCGTCTGCTGTCGCTGATGCCAGTATGTGTCTCTTTTCTCTTTATGTTACACTGCTAAGGGTTATCCAGGCTGCGCTACCGGCAACTTCTACACCGAGCCCGCCCCAGGCAGCTCTCACGACGCCCTGCAACCCATCAAGGTCTCCTGGAAGCCCGAGCTCAACTGCCTCCCGGACTCTCCCGCTCGCGTCGACATCCTGCTCACCGCACCCGGCCTCGACCAGACGCTGATGCAGAAGTGGGCCAACGTGCCGTATGCCGACGGGTCCTTTACGATGGACGTGCTCCCGCGCTGGTGGGGCGCCACGCCCAGCATGCAGCTGGCGGTCCAGGTCATCCCCGCCGGCTCCATCCCCGCCATACAGGCCATCCCCGCCGGCCCGTTCATCATCGCGACCTACGCCGAGCCCGCGACCGGCAAGCCCGCCGCTGCCGACGTCTCGCTCAACACCGACAACAAGACCACCAAGGTCACGTCCCCCTTGGGTGCCGTCTCGCAGCACCACCTCTCCAAGGGCCGCACCGCCGCCGCCGTCCTGCTGCCTTTGTTCTTCGTCGGCCTCGCATTCCTGGCGTACATGAAGTGGAGCCGCGGACGCACGCAAAAGAAGAAGGCCGCGTGGAGCGAGAAGCTCGACAAGCGCATGAGCACCATCAGCGCGGACTGGAAGAGCATCACCGGTGCTGGCGCAAAGGAGGCCGTACGGCACTCCATCGCCGCCAAGGACGGATCGGCATTCGCATTCGGCGCTATCCGCCCCAGCATCGACGAGATGACGGAGAAGGAGGCGCAGCCGCGCACGTCGCTCGGCTCGGGCGTCGGCGTCGGCGTGGGTGCGCGCAGGCCCAAGGTCCATGCGAATGGCACACCCGATCGCGCATCGCGCGCCATCTCCTTTGCGGATACCGCGCACCCGAGGCCCTCCGTCTCAAGCACGACGTACTCGCGTGGCTCCCGTGCTTTCCACACCGCCAGTACATACGCGGACGAGGACTGGAACGATGCGCCGCCTGTGCCTGCCCTGCCGAGCCCCTCCCAGAATGGGGCGTACGGCGCCTCTCCTACCACTGCTATCAGCCCTTTTAACAACAACACGACTTACACCACCGCTCCGACGCGCGCGAGCCGCTCCTCATCGTACTCCGGTAACAGAGTCAGCGGGGGTGTGCTCGACAACGCGGCGCCCATCAAGGCGAGCGTGGGCGGGAACGGCGGCGCGTGGATCAGCGGGACGAGGTGGAGGGCGTGGACGGGTGGCGTTTCTATTTTTGTGTCGTGTACATGCATGTCGTATATAGCCATGAGTATATTCTATTGTCCCAAAAGAGTTACCCAAAGGAGAATCCGAGTTTAAATACTTGCAACTCATGCCGCAGCCCAGCCCTGAACAGATGAAAGGCGTCGATGTATTGAAAGGTTTTGAGACGCGCACTTGTACTGGAAGTCGTAAAAATGTTGAAAAGAATAGAAACCGTTAGAAACTCTTGGAAATCGAAAGAGCTTACCTCTCCAGAAACACGTTAACCTTGCTCAAAATCACTAAAAACCGCGTTAGATTCGATAAAAACCTGGACCCGTTAGGGAGTAAATACAACGCGTTCCTTTGGTCCAATACGCGTTAAACCGCGTCAGAAACGTTTGGAATTGGAGTATTGAAGGCTTACCGTAGAAATACACAATAGATTCACTGAGCAGCGCGTTGGATCCAATAGAAACACGCGTTAGAAACCAGTAAAACAGTTAGAATCTTACTAAAAACCGCGGTGGGTTCAATAAAAACCTGGACAAAACACGCTACCTGTTTCAACGAGTCTTGACGTGAAAATCTCGGTCCATTAACGATTAAAAACACATTAGAATGATACAAAAATGAGTAGAAAAACAAGGCTTAGCGCGTTGAAATACGCGTAGGATTCGTCAGAAACTAGTAAAACACACTCACCTACGTTAAAACTAGGCTTGACGAGAAATTTCTCGCCAAAAAGCGCGTTAAAATGAATAAAAACGACTAGAATGGAAATTAGATTGGTTGAAATGGCAGTAAATTCGTCGAAAAGCGCGTTATATTCACTGAAACACTAGAAAACGCGTTAGAAACGGTTGGAATCGCAATAATGCAAGCTTACCGTTAAAAACCTGGGCTGAAAAACGCATTAGATGGTTAGACGGCCAGTGATGCTATGGACAGAAAATGATACTCAAAAATTGTTCAAAAGTCGGGTTATATCAGCAGTAGGAATACATAAAAGGCGGGTCAGGTGAGCAGTTGGGAAGCCAATAGGTTGGATCAGTAGTCGGACACGTCAAAAGTCAGGTTGGATCAGCAGTGGGCCGCAATAAAATCCGAGTTGGGTCAGCAGTAGTCCGGGGTCCAGTTCGCAGCAGCTTCGGGTTGAGTTCGCAGCTGGTTCCGGGTCCGCACTTGAGAGTCGGGTTGAGTCCGCACTTTTCGTGACGGGTTGATTCCGCAGTTTTCACGCGGGCCAGGTTAGCAGTTGGTAGAGGGCACAAACATATTTTGGTTGTTAGAAACACACTTACCTGCGCTCAAACGAGGCTTAACGAGAAAAAATCGGTTCAAAGCGCGTTAAAAACAGCTAAAAGCGTGTTAGAATCGGTACAAAATGAAGAAAAAAGGCTTATTCTAGCGTTAGACTCGTTGAAATACCGTTAGGTACACTGAAATGGCCTTGAGATTCATTGAAATACATGTCAGGTTCAACAGAAACGTGAAAGGACAAATACGTACCGTGCAAAAATACCGGCGCTTATATGCCCACGGCGTGGGGCTATATACATGGTGCGCGCAGTCGTAGATTTTTTTAAAAAAGACGCGCGGGGCCTTGGAATAGGGATGATGGGGGTCGTGGAGCCGCAGGAACTAGATTTAAAAAGGAGGGCGCGACGTGGAAGCCGAGAGAATAGGGATGGCGGGCACACAATGTGGTGGATGAGCAAAGGCCGTGGCAGCGCTGCGCGCCGCAAGCGGAGCGAGTGCTGAGTAATTAATTGCGGAAGGTATTCTTCACCATTGGAAGAGTGCCAGGAGAATGGATATGGTGGGAACAAAAATAATAGAGGAGAAAGGGGACATTCGGATGCGGGGAGTCGAACCCCGGCCTTCGGCTTTCAACATACCAAATATTCAGGCTATATTAATCTGATGTGCACCGTACACCACATCCGAGGTATTCACTACCGTTGGAAGCGTTCCATGGAGAATGGATTTGGTGGGACCAAAAGTAAAAGAGATGGGAGAAAGGGAGGGGTTCGGATACGGACCGTCGAACCCCGGCCTTCGGTTTATATTGTAAGCGGTCAGAATATTAAGCCGATGTGCACCATACACCAGATCCGAGGTATTTCTATTCCGTTGAGGCTGGATAAGTAACTGCGTGACCTTCAATGTTGAATAATTGCGACCACGGATTTAAAATAATGATTGGAATTTGCAAAGGCGAATCCGGATATAGGGAGTCAAACCCTCACGTTTGACTTTATGGAATAGAAAATGAAAAGAAAAAAGACAACTTGCGATTTCAAACGCGGCCCGTTCTTCGGCTTATCGTCCAATAGGATCGTCGGTGATGTGCACCGTTGCACCACATCCGAATTGTTCAGTACCATTTGAAATGTGTGAGGGGAGAAGTTTTGCGAAATAAAAATAAAATAAAAGATGTGGATCGGGATTCGAATGCGGGGAGTCGAACCCCGGCCTTCGGCTTACGATGGATTCTTATGAATAAAGAGCCGATGTGCACCGTACACCACATTCGAGGTATTCTTAACCATTTGAACTCGGCTAGGTAGAGAATTGGTGGTCTGAAAAAAAAAAGTTGTAAAGAATGGCGCATTCGGATGCAGGGAGTCGAACCCTGGCTTTCAGCTTATGCAATTAGCAGCACTTGGTATATGAAGCCGATGTGCACCGTACACCACATCCGAGTTATTCTTTATTGTTGGAACCTTGCCAGGAGAGAGATTTTTTTTGTGGAACAAAAATAAAAGACAATGAAGAACGTGTCATTCGGATGCGGGGAGTCGAACCCCGGCCTTCGGCTTACCTGGATCGATTCTTACGAATAAAGAGCCGATGTGCACCGTACACCACATTCGAGGTATTCTTCACCATTTGAACTCGGCCAGGGGAAAGAATATTGTGAGTGAAGCCTAACAAAAAAGAGGCAATTGCAAACAAGTACAAGTCGGATGCAGGGAGTCGAACCCTGGCTTTCGGCTTATGCGACTCATTGCTTGACTCGATATATGAAGCCGATGTGCACCGTGCACCACATCCGAGGTATTCTTTGTCATTAGAACCTTGCCTGGGGAGAGGGCTTTCGTGGATGCCCCCCCAAAAAAGCAGCTCACAGAGGAATTCGGACGCACTGGGGAGTCGAACCCTGGCTTTCAGCTTGCACTACGATGGCATAGCTACCATAAAGGGCTGATGTGCACCGTGCACCACATCCGAGCTATTCTTCATTGTTGGAACCTTGCCAGGAGAATGGATTTGGTGGTCAAAAAAGGAAAAGGGTGAGGGAAGGGTTGATTCGGATGCGGGGAGTCGAACCCCGGCCTTCAGCTTATATGACCTTTCGTGGGATATATGAAGCTGGTGTGCACCATACACCACATCCGAGATTCCGTTGAGGCTGGGTAAGTAAGTAACCTTCAGTGTTGAATAATTCCAATGCAACCTAAGTTCATTCCAGCGAATTGATTGGAATTTGTAAAGCTAGTCCGGATATAGGACCTCTAGGGAGTCAAGATTTTGATTGTGACTTTATGAGGTAGAAAAGAAAAAGAAAAAAGAAAGAAAAAAGGGGACTCAGGCGAATTCGGATGCGGGGAGTCGAACCCCGGCCTTCGACTTTCTCCTTACAATATATTAAGCTGATGTGCACCGTGCACCACATCCGAATTATTCAGTACCATTTGGAATGTGTGAGGGGAGAGGCTTTGTGGAAGAAGAATAAATAAAAAAGATTTGGGGATTCTGCATTCGAATGTGGGGAGTCGAACCCCGGCCTTTGGCTTTTAACATAACAAATATACATTCCGAGTATATTAAGCCGATGTGCACCGTGCACCACATCCGAGCTATTCTTCATTGTTGGAACCTTGCCAGGGCCGAGGATATTGTTGAAGCAGCAGGGAAAAAAAAGAGATGGAGCCAGTACAGTCTGATTTGGATGCTGGGAGTCGAACCCGGGCCTTCAGCTTGTAGTGGATTGAGATAAAGAGTCATACGCAGCTGACGTGCACCGTACACCACATCGATACCATATGGAGTGGGGTATGAGTGAGCTAAACTAGCCTTAAATTGGGATCTGGAGTTGATTTGGAGGTACGCGTGCATTTTTTCGGTAGGAAATTGTTGGTTTATTTGCCCAAAAGTGTGCGCGGCGGGAAGACTACTCTCTCTAAAATTTAGCGTGTAAGGAATGACTCGGAACAGACATGTACAGGAGGTGACAGGAACGTCGAGTCAGAGGCGATTGTGATCGACTCGGATGCTAGCGAGGAGGACGAAGACTTGAATTTGTGGAGCGGAGCGAAGAGTACTAACTCGAGAACAGCACTGAACCGAGTACGAACGCAAGCCTGCAGTACAAGACCCCCGCCTCCTCGCCCGAACTCGCCATCACCCCCTGACGACGTTTGACCGACAGCGCTCCTTGGCGTGTGTCATGTGCAACAACCATCACGTCGGAGTTTGAACTCCTTCCTTTTCTCTCCCCCTCGTTGTTGTCGTCGTCGCCGCCGACGGCCGCCCCTCCACACTCGTTCTCCCTCCCTCTCTTTACACACACATACACACATGGGCTTCGAGGGCATCAAGATCAAGGTCGGGCACGCTGGCGCCAAGTTTGGCAAGCACCTGCGTCGTGCGCCTGCCGTCGCTGATGCCAGTATGTGTCTCTTTTCTCTTTATGTTACACTGCTAAGGGTTATCCAGGCTGCGCTACCGGCAACTTCTACACCGAGCCCGCCCCAGGCAGCTCTCACGACGCCCTGCAACCCATCAAGGTCTCCTGGAAGCCCGAGCTCAACTGCCTCCCGGACTCTCCCGCCCGCGTCGACATCCTGCTCACCGCACCCGGCCTCGACCAGACGCTGATGCAGAAGTGGGCCAACGTGCCGTATGCCGACGGGTCCTTTACGATGGACGTGCTCCCGCGCTGGTGGGGCGCCACGCCCAGCATGCAGCTGGCGGTCCAGGTCATCCCCGCCGGCTCCATCCCCGCCATACAGGCCATCCCTGCCGGCCCGTTCATCATCGCGACCTACGCCGAGCCCGCCACCGGCAAGCCTGCCGCTGCCGACGTCTCGCTCAACACCGACAACAAGACCACCAAGGTCACGTCCCCCTTGGGTGCCGTCTCGCAGCACCACCTCTCCAAGGGCCGCACCGCCGCCGCCGTCCTGCTGCCTTTGTTCTTCGTCGGCCTTGCGTTCCTGGCGTACATGAAGTGGAGCCGCGGACGCACGCAGAAGAAAAAGGCCGCGTGGAGCGAGAAGCTCGACAAGCGCATGAGCACCATCAGCGCGGATTGGAAGAGCATCACCGGCGCGGGCGCAAAGGAGGCCGTACGCCACTCCATCGCCGCCAAGGACGGGTCGGCATTCGCATTCGGCGCTATCCGCCCGAGCATCGACGAGATGACGGAGAAGGAGGCACATCCGCGCACGTCGCTCGGCTCTGGTGTCGGCGTCGGCGTGGGTGCCCGCAGGCCTAAGGTCCATGCGAATGGCACACCCGATCGCGCATCCCGCGCCATCTCCTTTGCGGACACCGCGCACCCGAGGCCCTCCGTCTCAAGCACGACGTACTCGCGCGGCTCCCGTGCCTTCCACACCGCCAGCACGTACGCGGACGAGGACTGGAACGACGCACCGCCTGTGCCTGCGCTGCCGAGCCCCTCCCAGAATGGGGCGTACGGCGCCTCTCCTACGACGGCTATTAGCCCATTTAACAACAACACGACTTACACCCCCGCTCCGACGCGCGTGAGCCGCTCCTCTTCGTACTCCGGTAACAGGGTCAGCGGGGGCGTGCTCGACAACGCGGCGCCCATCAAGGCGAGCGTGGGTGGCAACGGCGGCGCGTGGATCAGCGGGACGAGGGTGGAGGGTGTAGATGGCGGATATGCGGGCGCGAGTGTGAGCCCGACGGGGAGGGTGCATCAGGTGGGTGGTGTTTCCATTCTGTTTTTGTGGACGGCTAGGTGGCCGAGACTTTGGGGCAACGGGTCGCTCGACGTCGGCGCTTTCACGGCGTCGTGCCTCGACCCTCGTGCGTCGAGCGTCGAGCGGTGTCAATGCCCGATGCTTGTCACTTTTGTTGCCATCTCCCACAGCCCCTTACGACGAACGAACGAACGCTGACGCTTGCTTGTTCGCACACAGATCAACTACCCCGCGGCCAACGTCGCGCAGAGCAACGCCGCGTACTATGGGTATGAGGAGCCGACTGCGTGCGTGTCTCTTTCTCTTCGCTCTTTCTTGTACATCCCCGCTTCCGCCATTATCCTTCCTCGTTCCGTCTTCCTATTCCCTTCCCATCTCTCCTCTCCCGCCACGACCTACCCACATCCATCCAACACCTTGACGCCCCGCCCCGCGCGCCCCCCTTTCCTTCCTTCACGTCTTCCATCCTTCTCCCGCGTCCCCGTCCCTTCCCTTACTTGCTCCGCGTGCTGCTCCTCCCTTACGTCTCTCCCCTTCCGCCCCACCGCCATTAGCCTCCTTCCGCGCCCCCTCCCTCCCTCCCCCTTCCCATCTTTCCACCCCCCTCTCCCGCCATGCTCCATCCATACACATGCGACGACGCGTCGTCCTTTCCTGTTCCTCCCGCCCATTTCCTCATTTAATTTTCCACCGTCCTCCTTCCTCGCCGTCTCCAGCCCGTCTCACCTTCCCCTCTCGCTCTCCTTCATTACACCCCCCTCATGCTCCTTGCCCCCTTTCTCCCTCTCTCATCCCCCCTCGTCAAAAACCTACCAACTAACGCCCTGCCCATCCCACAGCCCCGAGCTCGCGAGCCCGCGCCAGACGGCGGGCCCGCTCACGCTGACGCCGGACGACATCAGGCGCAGGATGGCTGGTGGGGGTACGTGCCTTTCTTTCTTTTTTATGCTTTTTTTTTTCGTTATCTTCGCATCCTTCCCTCCTGTCGTCGTTCGCCAGCCGTATACCGCACCGTACCTTTCCCTCATACGCTCCACCTCGTCGTCCGCCCTCGTTCCACTCTCGTCCTTTCGCTTATACCTCCCCACTCCCTTCCCACATATGTCATCCTCCTTCCGCTCCCCACGCTCCCATCCCATCCCTTCCCGTCGTCCTCGTTCATCCCCTTGCTCGTTCCTCCCGCCCTCCCGTCGTCATCTGTCATCCGTCATCGTTCTCCACTCACCGTCCCGCCTCCTCTTCCCACCCTCCACCCCCCTCCTTACCTTTCCACCATCCCCCCTTCTCCCGCCTCATTCTTCCTCTCAACCCTCCTGCTCCTCAATCGCATACCAACCTTTTTTTTCACCACGCAACTTTTTTTTTTTTTTTCCCTGCATACTATTTACCACGTATACTAACCAACCCTTTTTTTTTACAGCCTCCCCCCCGCCCACCTTCGCGCGCGCGCCCGGCTCGGGCGCGGGCGGTAACGGCGAGTGGCGCGCGAGCGTGGACGAGGTGTTTGGCGCGCTGAGCAGTGAGTTTTTTTTTTTTTTTTTTTGCTTTCTTGGTTTTTTACTGGGGGCGACCGATGTGGTGGTGCGGGGTGTTTGATGATACGGAGGCGTTCGCAGAGTCGAGGCGTGGTGTCGATGTTTTTTGGGGGTCGTTGACGAGTTGTGGGGCGATGAGGACGAGTTCGTGGTTCCTCGCATCGCTGAGTCAGGCGTGTTCGGTGGAGGCGGGTCGTGTCGACATACGGGCTTGCTGGCGTGTTGTCCTCTCGACGAGTTTGTGCTGCAGGCGCGGTTCGCTACGTCGAATGCTTCGTCATTCGACGACGGCGTGTTTGTGTCGGCTGCTGGGCTCGAGTTGTATGTGCGTGCGGTGGTGGTGCGGCGCGATCGTAGGATTCCTTCCGTCAGCGGAGGACCTACTGGGTCTCTCCCATTTCTGCATCTCGCCTTGTTCTCCGGGGGCGGGGCGTGCATGTCTTGCCTTGGCGTCGTGCGGGGGCAGACTGGAGCTTGGATTGGCTAGCGAGCGGGAGAGGCGTGTGGTGGCGGTGGCGGTGGCTGTGGTGGGTGTGGGCGTCTCGATGGACGGACGCCGAAGTCGCGTCTCGACTGACGCCGCTGTGGCGACCTCGACGGACGGACACCGCTGTCGGCGTCTCGACGGAGACGTCCCGGAGTTGGGGCGTCCTGGCGTGTGGGGTGGTGTGCCCCTCCGATCCCGCGATCGCGTCCTGAAGATGGGGGGTGGTGTGGTGTGCCCGATTCACTCACCTTTCTTTTCTTACTTCCTCCCTCCTCCCTACTACCAGACACCGCGACTAACCCATTTCTTTTCCTTTCCCTCCAGTGATGCGCACCGGCACGGCGTCCTCCGCGTCTTACGCCGGGTCTGCTATGCCTAGGTGAGATTGTGTTCTGTTCTGTCATCATTTTGTCGGCCTCCATTTGCCGTCTGCCCCCACCACCCTCGTTCCTTCTTTGTCGACCAGCTCCCTCCCTCCTCGCCGTCGTTACTTCGGTGCTTTCTCTCCCCCCGCCCCGCTTCCTCCTTTGCGCTACGCCCGTCTCACTCCTTGTCCACCATCCACTTCCTTCCTCTGCGCTTTATTCGTGCTTCGATTTTTGCTTGCACTATCTATTCTCCTCCACGTCACCCTCTTTCCCATCGTCGTCTCCCATGCCCACTCGCACCCTTCCCCCCGTACCGTCCCCCTCTTGTCTACTTCTTCG